ATAAAGTGAATAGAATTGAACTGAATTGAAATGAAGGCTCCTCTAGAGGTTCTGCTCTAGAGTAGAGCCACGCCTGGAGGTTATTATAGCTTCTCTGCAGTAAATATTATACCTAAACCTTGGAAAAATGTTTGTTTTCTATAAAATCTTCACAGCTAAAATAGTTTAAATCTGCCTCTAAATGAAAGCTGTCTGGTTGAACTAATCTGTTTCCAGAGCAGACCACTTCCTGTCTGGTACTGGAACCAGTCTGCTACCTGGAGGCCGGTGTTCTGTCAGGTGATCATACCCATAGTCGATACCTGCTTTTCCTTTTAGTTTATCTCTTTAGTTTTGTACGAAACATGAAGTTTAAACTTCCTCACCAAGCGTGGATCCCTTTAGTCACCAAAAACCTAATTAATAATAACTTCCTTTTTGGTGTTTTTTGAAGCGTATGGAGATCTGACCTAAAATGCCTTTTTTTTGTCCATGACCAAAGGGATACACGCCTATCGAGGTAGTTAAAAGTCTATTTTTCATACAAAACATGTAAATATAAATGCAAATCTGATGTCTTGCGATGCGTATTGACTATAGGTATGCTGGTCTGACAGGTATGCTCACCTGACAGAACACCAGATCTGGAACAGCTGGTTTCTGATAATATCAAAGAAGGAGTCTTCCTCAGGGGAAAGTGATGAAGATGACTCCGCCCCTCAGAATGAGACCCCCCCTCCCCACCTTGGGCAGTTTCTCCTCCAGCTGGCTCTTGACAGTCTTGACCTGCTGGATGTTGAGCTGCAGGGCTTCCCTCGTCGCCTTGAACTGCGCCTGCGTGTCAGCAGCCGTCTGCACCAGCACCGACTCCACCAGGGCCTTCAGGGTCAAACAGTTGCTCTTCTGCTGCTCCGCCTTGGTCATGTTCAGCTCAGAGACGTCCTCCCACTGCTTTGGACTCACTGTGGAGCTGAAGAGCAAGAAGAACATCAGCCGGCTGGAAGAGAGAGCATTTATCCACCGGATCGTCTCCTAACATCTGAGTCGTTCTGTTCCAATCAGTCCACAGATTTAAACAGAAACATTGAAAGAAAATTCCAAAAAGTAAAACGATCCACTGGACTTTGTTTGGAAATCTCCATCCATCATGTTGCTGGAAACTCTGAGAAACTCCAGAGGATTTTCTCCAAACTCAGGAGAACAGAAGACCTCACCTGTTCATCCAGACCAACAATTCCCTCTAACGACCCCCCTTTCAGAGACATAGACAGGTATGGGGCATTGCAGGCTAACAAAGAAGCCAAACGACCCCCATTCCAAAGGGGGGGACCCGTTC